ATGAACAACATAGACTGATGAACAAGAACAGACCCAGAGACAAGGAAGCATAGATCAGACTGTCTGACCTCAGAGAGAAGGTAGGGAAGGGTGGGGATAAGGGGGAGAGATCAACTAAAGGACTTGTGTGTATGCATATGAGCCTAACCAGTGGTCACGAACAACAGGGGAGAAGGGTATACGTGGGGAGGGCTTTGAGATGGGAATGGGGGAGTGGGGGAATTCTTTAAACAATAAAGAAATTAAAGAAAAAAAGACTCCAGTGTCCTTGATCCATCAAGGACATGTCACTTATCTCTATTTATATTTAGGTGTATGGGCTACTGGTCATTAAAAAATAAAATAGATTTCTTCAGGAAGATGGAAAAATTTTAAAAGCTGGAAGAAGTAAAGTCAAATTTCACCCAGTCAACATACAAGAATGAGCACAAGTAGGTTAATAATAATAATAAATAAAGCAATAATAAATAAATAATACAAGACTACTTTTCTGTACTCACAACTGTAAATCTACATTTGCCCACTCTTGTACTTGAGTAAATAGTACCTTGAATTGCAAAGAATTTCAGGAATGAACAGTGGATTCAAATAATGCAGTTTTCTCTCAAAATGAGCATTGCCTATTTTAGACACTGTTTATGTAGGGTCATGTTCACAATATAAAATCCAAGTTTCAGAAATCCAGCCCCTTCCATGAAAAGTATGAGAGCACCTCCAACAATACTCACAGACAGGCAGCACATATTTTGAGTGTGAGAGTAAAGTTGCTTTGCTTCCCAAATCACAGAGGAGTTTTGTACGGAGGATCTGAACAAAAATAACCTTGATTTTTATAGACTTGTACTTTTTTTCCAAGTCCTTGGCCCATAATCTTATTAAATTTAACAGTTCCAACTAAGTTTCCCTGGGAAACTTTGAAAACCGACTCTTGGAAAACTTTGGAACCATCGACTTATAAAATAGTATATATTGCTTTTAATGTTCAATGACCAAAATGATTATTACCAAAAAAAATTAGAAATACACGATGCAGAAGGATATAATAGATGAAGTAAATATTCACCTCCCCAAGAGGGTCACAGTCAGCTTCTTGTGCAGAATTTTAGACTTTTATATGTATGGTTTTATATGTGTGTGTACACACCCACAAACAGATGTGGTTCTTTTCTTGAACAAAAAGTGAATTATATGCTAAGAGACAAAGTCTTTATTGTTCTTGCCACAGAAAATAAATGCATAATGTGATAAAGATGTAACTAAAGCTATAGTGCTAATCATAGCACAATATGTAAATGTAGTATATAACGTGTTGTATACCTTAAACTTACACAATGTTGTACACCAGTGGTCACCAACCTTTCGGACCTCGTGGACCACCAGTGGTTCGTGAACCACCAGTTGGTGACTGCTGTTGTACACCAATTATATTGCAATGTTTTTAATGTGAAAATAATTGAATTGCAAAATACCAACTGTTCTGCAGCCTTTTGTTTTCATTTAACCATTTATTGAGGATGTCTTTCCTGGGTGGTGCAATAGGGGATGGTGATGTTGTGCAGGTGGGTGATGACCTGGGGCTCTGAACCCAGAGGGAACAGAGCAAGTGAGGAGACGGGGCATTTGCTGCCCACACTGGCCAGAGGATGCTCTTAACTGAGTTGTTTCTAGAAGTGATTATGCCCTGATCCAGGGACTTGCCCAGTTTACAAGGCAAATGGCCCTCAGGTGGAATGGGACTCCAACATGGGTCTTTGATCCCAAACCTGCCAAAGTGAGCTATGCTCCCATTGGAACCAATACTCCATAGGGTAGTGGTATGTCCACACAATTCAAATCTATTCTGCCATAAAAAGGAATGGCTTTCTGGTTCATACTACACCATGGGTGAACCTCACGGACATTATGCTCAGCGAAATAAGCTGGACACAGAAGGACGGATACTGTAAGATTTCTCTTATGTGAGGACCTACAAGAGTCGAATTCACAGAAACAAAGCGGGAGGTGGGTGCAAGGGTCTGGGGAGGAGGGAGTTCAAGTTTAACAGGGACAGAGCTTCAGTTTGGGAAGATGAAAAGCTCTGGAGATGGACGGTGGTGATGGCTGCACATTTGTGAATGTATTTAATGCCACTGAACTGTTGTTCACTTCAAAACGGTCAATTTTATGTTGTCTGTATTTTACCTCAAGAACAAAAAGGGAGTGCATTTGCTTTTCAAGGACACATATGTAATACCTTAATCAATAAAGAAACAGAAAAAGAAAACAAGAACAAGCTACATTTCTCCCTGTTCTTGGTCTCTTTCCTGTCATTTGACTGTAGAAATTGGCCCTTAGTAGAGAACCGTGTGGGTGTGAGGCCTGGCCCCAGGGGAACAGAGCTCCACAAAACTGTTTAAGAAACACAATAAATCTGAATGCTCTTGAAAGCTTCACAGTTTGTTTTCCCAGAACTGAGAGCCTAGGATGTTAGCACACTCAGAACAAGATGCTCCAAGACAGGGGAGGCCTTGGAGGCCCATCAATCCCCAGCTGTTGCTGGCAGTGCGACTCCAGCAGTGACTGTGAGAAACACACTCACTAGGGGTGTCACTCCCTAGCAGGGGACACACTCGGCCACCACCCACCACACAGAGGTCACTTATAGTGGTCCCTCTACAGTTCCTTCCCACAAACCCCATGGGACCCTTCCATCTCAGTTGGAATCACCATGGGATTTGGAGAAGGCTCACCTTGCACATGACTCCACCAAATGTTTTCAGAGAAAGCAGCAGAATAAGGAACACAGCAAGAGAAGTTAAGCAGGAGTGTTCAGTGGGGAGAGGCATCAAAAGCACAAATTTGGAGAATTTTGTGGCTTCCTCAAAATTACACAGCTTCTTAGACTGCACCCTCCAGTTGCATCGCCAGCCTTCAAAGGGGGTTGGGGAGGATAAAAGAAAAAGGGGCTACAGAGTGGGAAAGTTTTAGCAAAGAAGGGAGGTTTGAAAAGCTGAGGGTCTGAGAGAGGAGGCTGGGGACTCACATGGTACCTCCAAGGGGCTGGCCGGCTTTCTGAGCCCAGGAGCCCTTTCAAACGCCTCAAAATGGGTGAGGTGCCTGGAAGGCCTGGCCTTCAGATCCCAGCCGAGGGCCAGCCAGGTCCTCTCCAGGTACACAATCATTTCCTCAGCACCCGCAGCTGTGCCCGGCTCCAAAGAGCAGGAGAGGCTCTGAGTTTCGGGACCTCATCACGGGAAGACCTGACCCCAGGGTGGAAAGGAGGGCACGCCAATGGAAAGTGGAGCGGAAAAGTCCACCGGAAAATACCACTCTAGCGATTGAAACGTCATGCTGTCTTGTTGACTGTGTTTTTAATGTGACAGCTGGTAAATGTGCTCGCACTCCGAGGTCCCGCAGCAGGAGCTCACCAGGTGCCCAGAGGCTGTAGGTGCAGTGAGAAGAGAGCAGGAGAGTTGGAATGATCTCAATGGAGTTGCCCAGTGACCTTCCCGATTAAAATTCACACACTTTAGTGAGACAGATTTTCTGTCCCTGCTGTGAGCTACAGGTGTTCTCTAAAGACTGGGAGGAGCAGGGAGCAAGGAGCTGTGGGAGGGGAGTGCTTCCCAACTAGATGGGAACAAAATGGCACTTGCTCTGCAGAGACAGGCAGCTAGACTCAGGGCAGAGAAATGCTCCAGGACCGCCGGCGGGTTCCCAGGCCCCTGGCCCAAGGAGGGGGTCAGAGTCAAGTGGCACTTGCACCTGGGAGTTTGGTGAACAGGGACTGCTGACAAGTAAGCGATGGAATAGAAGTAACAGAAATAAGAAGGAGGAATGAAAGTTGTAAGAATGGAATTCATGGCCCTAACCGGTTTGGCTCAGTGAATAGAGCATCAGCAGGTGGACTGAAGGGTTTCAGGTTTGTTTCTGGTCAAGGGCATGTACCTTGGTTGTGGGCACATCCCCAGTAGGGGGTGTGCAGAAGGCAGCTGATCGATATTTCTCTCTCATTGATGTTTCTAACTCTCTATCCCTCTCCCTTCCTCTCTGAAAAAAATCAGATCCCAGCCGAGGGCCAGCGATAGATAGATATATATAATGGAATTCATGCCTCCAGGTCTGTTTCCCAAAAGTGATTGGTTAGAAAGTTATTGCTCTATTTAAAGATGATCTTTTCTTAAGAAGAAGGAAAAAAAAAAAAAACCTGACTAAACCCCCTAATCTGGGGGAGCATGCTTGAGGAAAGACTAGCTGGGGATGTCACCCCCCCAGCCCAAGGCCAGCCTAGGTCACCCAGGGATGGTCTCCAGAATGAAGAAGGACTGGGCCAGGCCTAGGGAGCAGTGTTCTCAAACGTTGGGGTGCACCAAAAATCTCAGAGTGGGGGCAGCCTCAGCCCCAAGACCCTGCTTCTAATCTGCATTTAGAAGAAGATCCCAGGTGATTCTGAAGCAGCAGTCTGGGACCTCTAATGGAGAGAGAAACTCTGCCCATGGTTCTCTGTACCGACCAATCTTGTTCAGATGCAGCGGCTTGCTGCTCCAGCCCCGTGAGGAGGTGAGAATGGAGAGGAGGGTTAGATGCAGCCACATGGCACGGCCACAGCAGCCACCCCTCCAGGATACCAGGCCGTTCAGGAAGCACGAGGTCAGAAACATGTGGCCCAAGCTGCCCACAGTTTCTGTCTGTCATCTATAACCCAGTGGGGCATGTGGTCTGAATAGTTTCATCACCAGGTAATGTTAACTACACCTTATTAAGACACTTTGCGAAAAAGTATCATCTCCGGGGAGTGGAAATGAAGTAAGCACAGCTGACTGTAACTTGGATGAACTGGAAAAGGCATAGCCTGTGCTTGCTGAACCCACTTTATAAGCCCCTGATTCCCATGCACATCTCTCTGAGAGTGTTCTGTCTACTGTGTGTGTTTTTATAACAAAATATAGAGATCACTTAGGCTGATACTTGCCCCAACCAGGAGGGTGGCTGCTCATCAGATAAGCAAGAAAGACTCTCACTTGTCACATTAACAATATTAAATACTGACACAACCTTGTGTGTTTATTGTATTATATAAAAGTTTTATTTTGCAAGGGACTGAAAACTAAAACTAAAAATAAAAAAATAAAAAAATAAAAGTGAAACTTTACCACGGATAGTTCAAGGAACACTGCTGTAAATGCAGTTCCGCAGGCGGGATGGGAAAAGGATGTGAGTGTGTGTGGGTGTGTGTGAGACAGAGAGAGGTGGAGGGCGTGGCGAGAAGTCAAACGCAAGGGGAAGGGGATAAAACTTTTTCAACAATAAAAACACTATTGTGTTGGGTGAGTACATATTGCATAGTTTCCATGATAAACAAAAACATGTTTCCATTCGGGTCAAAATGAGAGCAAACCTCTTCCCTTTCCGGACAGACCTCCTGCCTGGCCAGGGAGCTCCGGGCCAGCACTCAGGGCGGCTCTCAACCCCGTCAACCCACCTGAGACGCTCCGCCCTCACAGTGCCAAAGCCAACATACCCCGAAGCCCGCTGCCCTCCCTCCTCGCCCTCTGCTGCACACCGTGTGCATGGAAACCTCTGGCTCACAGAGACCCCAACCAGAGGGCTGGTTCCCTGAGACCCCAGCACCAAAGAGCCTCGCTTCCCCTCCGAGGCAAAGGCCATTCTCTTCTCTCTGGAATCAAACGTTGGTGTTCATTTTCTTCTGCCACAAAGTGACGGCCAGGCGTCCTGCTTCCCGCAGGGAGCGCCGATGCAGAGGGAGGTGTTCATGTTTATGAGGAGAGGGGTCCTTCACGAACTTCATTCGTGTGAGACAGTGCAAGGGAGTGATGAGCGGCCTAGCAGGTGACCGCGGGCCTTCAGACGCCGCTCAGGAGCCACGGAACTTAGAGCTGCCGGGCCTTAGCTTGTTCTCCGCCTCACATGTCACCGCACCGAGCCGGCCGAGGTGCCAACCTAGGAAAATGTGTGCAAACAACACAAGCAGGCTGTTCCCCTTGGCCTGAATCTGAAAGGGTGGGCAAGGCACAGACAAATAGTGTGGGGTTTGTCACTGTGAAAGTGCCTCCCCGGGAGGATGGACTGCACCGGGAGGACAGACGGAGAGGCAAGGAGCTCCCTGAAACAGCCCACAGCGTCCACGGGGCCCTCACAACTAATATGAGGTCTCTCTCACACACTCCAACACAAACCGCACTGCCTAACAAAACAACTGCTGATTTTATTGTTTCATTCCAAAGGAAAGGAGACTTCCTTGGCTAGCTAGGCCAGCGGTCCCACAGGACGCACTGGAGAGACCACCTTCCCCCGTCCCACAGCACACGCACCTCACACACTCTCCTGTTTACTCTCACTTGTCCACACTCACCTGCTCACTTAGGCATGTGTGCTCACATGTGTGTACACACACGTACACACAACTATGTACACATGTGCACGTCTTTACCCGACAACCATTTGCAGCGAGAACAGCTGGAAACATCTGTTCTGACGATGAGCACTTTCTCGAGAGCAATTGCACGTTGGCATTTGTGCTGTTTCGAAGTGAGGGCCCTCCAACAGCAAAAAGCTCTGTGTCCACCTCCCTCATATCGCCTTCCAAAAAGTGACGGTCAGAGGCCAGGATTGTCTCTCCAAGGAATCGAGCCAGGACAGGACAGAAGGACACGCACACCACAACAGTGGATGCATGGTGGAGAAGGTGTTCATTGACCTCACTCTTTGGGAGCCACAGTGTCTCAGAGACCATCATTTGCATAGTGACAATGTCTCCTCTTTAAAACCACGCAGAGGTCAGTCACCTCTCCTGAGCGAGCATTTGAAAGGCTACTTCTCCGCCTCCCGCAGTTCCCTCAGCACAGCTCGGAGGAGGCGCTGAAGCCTCCAGAACATGGTGGAGGCAGCTCTCTGGGGGCCACCTGGGTCTGCACACTCCTGCACAGCCTCCCGCAGCTGCCGCTGGAGCTGGAAGGAAATGGCAGGGCTCTGGAGAGTCGAGGAGAACCAGTGTCGGAATATTTTGTCACAGACCACCTGAGGGGAAGGACAGGGAGACATTAATTCGGGGAGTGCATCCCCTCGAGAGCCCAGAGCCCACAAGTGGTCCTTCCATACACCTCAGCTCTGCTCCCACTTCCCCAGGGGCTTTCAGGGAGGGTCCTGCAGACCCCAGTAGGTACCTTCCCTTCTGGAAGCTAAGCACTCAGCTCCATGAGTAAACTGCATCAGGGAGAAGGCTACCTCATATTAGGTAGAAATTTCCACTTCTGGCCTCACAGAAGATGAGGAAGTTCTGGGTTGACACTTCACAAAGGACTGAGTACATTTCCAAAGATGAAGGGAGCAGGAAGTCACAGGCAGTAACTGCTGGGTAAGGAGCAGCCCCACGGAGGACCTGAGAATAGTGGCCCTCCCCCTACCACCACATTGCTGAGGCTGGGCATTCTTAGCCACACATTGGTCACAGTAACAGCGATAAATAGGACAGGGCATCCTGAGGATCCAATGACATGTTGGTGAGAGTAGTATGTACATGTGATAGCACCTTGAGGCTCAGGGGGAAAAGGTGGTAAGACTCTTTTTAGGAGCCTTCGAGATGGTTTAGTTTAAGCCATTATCTTGCGGCCATTCATTCTAAGCAGGTATGGAATTCACTCAAGCTGGTGCTCTCTTTACATTCTTAGTTTACACCTTCTGTGTGTAGCAGAACTATCTGTTTCCTCTCTACTGTGAGAACTGGACTAGATGCGGCATAATTAACACGGCTTCCTTTTTCTATATCGGCTTTATATTAGCCTCATTTAACAAATGCCTCCATTTTATGGAGCTGCTATCTCACAGAAACAAATAACCTTAATTTCTGTCTCCCAGTGCCTACAAGGGTAGGGATTCTTTTTAAAAAACATTCTCTTGTTTCCTTTTCTGAGTTGACAATACATTTTCATGTGCAAAAATGTACACTGTCCCAAAAGGCAGACTGCACTCTTAGTCTCCATCTTGTCCCGACAGCCTGACACTGAGCTCCGGCTCTGAGAGATCACCCCCTCCATGACTCTCCTTCTTGAGAGCGTCTGTGGGCATACACACACACACACACACACACACACACACACACACACGTGTGTGTGCGCACCTGTACGTGCAAGTCTTTCTCCTTTACTTTCTATAAGTGGTGGTATATAATGCCCACTGTCTTACAGCTTCCATTCCCGCTTAACCAAATATCAGGGAGAGCCTTCCAAATCAGTTCTCATAAGGACATCCCATTAGTTTCAATGGCTAGCCCTCAAACGTGTGGATGTATCATAAATTACTTAAATAGTTCCCCGTGGTGGAAATGTAGGTTGTTTACTAACTTTTGCTATTATGAACAATACTGAAATAAATACCTTGCATATATGTCACTTTTGTGCGTGACTAAATTTCTGGAAATGAAATTTCTGGGCCAAGGTGTATGCGCATTTTTTTCTTTTGATACGTCTTGCCAAACTGATCTCCATAAAAGTTGTACTAAGTTACACACTCACAGCATTGTACAAAAAGAATGCTCCTGTGCCCCAGACCCTCGCCAGCATGTGTGTTATCTTTCATTTTTGCCAGCTGATGGGTGAGAAGGTTTAATTTGCATTTCCTATCAGTCAGGTTGAAAGTTATTTCCAGTGAATGATCAAGTTAATATTCTTTGACCACATTTCCACAAGGTATTGAAGTTTTTTATATTAATTTGTAGATGTTCTTTATATCACAAGGACCATTGCCCCTTGCTTAGGTTGGTTTCTTGGGGAGCAGACTCTAAGAGGGAGGTTTGCACCTGGAGATTTATTGAGGGCCATCCTTGGGGACCACACTTCCACACTGTGCTTTGCAAATGCCCCACCCCCAATCACAGGACCCTGCCCCAGGGATGTGGCCAAGAAGCTCTGCTGGACAGGGCAACCCTGGGGATACTCTCGGAGCTTCAGAGGCTAAGGGATAAGGGTCACCACTTGCCTCAATAGATCTATAAGAGCCCTTTATATATGAGGTGGGACAAAAGTAGGTTTACAGTTGTGAGTACACAACACATAGAATTCATTCTTGCATTATTATTTTTTAGTAATTATATATTTTCAATAGGAAAAACTATAAACCTGCTTTTGCCCACCCTGTATTAGGGATGGGAACCTTAGTCTCTCATTATGGGCAAAGGGCAGATGGTTGTTGTTGTAGTGTCAATCATCTTGTTCCCGCCACTCAGTGGTTGGCAAACTGCGGCTCGAGAGCCACATGTACCTCTTTGTCACCTTGAGTGTGGCTCTCTCACAAAATACCATGGCCTGGGTGAGTCTATGTTGAAGAAGTGGCGTTAGAAGAAATTTAAGTTTAAAAAATTTGGCTCTCAAAAGAAATTTCAATCGTTGTATTGTTGATATTTGGCCCTGTTGACTAATGAGTTTGCTGACCACTGCCACCACTGAAGCAAAGGCTTTCCCTGCAGACCCGTCTAGGGTGTGCGTGCACAGAAAGTTAGAGGCTGGGACGGAGAAGAGGCCTCTGAAGGCCCCATCACTGCTGCATGCTTCCCACCCAGAGCTTTTGTCCAGCCTGGTCCAGGAATTCCGGATTCACACCACTACCAGGTCTCCCGGGAACAGTCCTCTTTTGTTGCATGACTCAGCAGCAAGCTCTGGCCTGCTCTGGCCCAAGCCCACATGGCCAGGTCTGCATACTGCATACGGGCACACTGGCCTTTGGGTTGGAGGAGGGTAGGAAAGAACAGCTACAGAAAAGTGGGGTAGTGGGTTGGATAAGTGAATAAGAAAGCAGGAAAGAGGAGGTGAGGCAAGGGCACAATCATGACTGACCACAGGCAGCCAGGTGGTGGGCCCAGCTTCTCAGCCATGGGCTCTTCTGGTTGCAGCCAACACCTATGAACTCAGGCTCATCCACACCCACCTGAGAGCCTCAGGGGAGGGGTGAGGGCAGATAACTTCTGCCCAAAGGAGAGAGCATAGTGGGGTCTGGAGCCCCACTCTTGGGGCCTCCCTACACCCTATCTGAGAGCCTGGACCCAGCATCCTTCCTACATATCGCTGATTCCTGAACTTGAGACACATTCTCTCTTCTTCTATTGCCCACCTGCTGGCCCTAACCCATGCCTGTTGGGATTGTGTCATCTGTCCAACCTCTCTAATTTGGCCAGTTTTTCAGAATGACTTTGCATTCTTTTTCTTATTAGTACTCATTCTGAGTGTGTGTGTGTGTGTGTGTGTGTGTGTGTGTGTGTGTGGCAGTCTGGGGGTGTGAGGTGGGGAGAGGGGCGGTGAACCAGGCTGACTTTGCTGGGAGCTGTATTCGTTGGACCTTATAGCCAACAACTTCATGGGGCAGGCCACAAAGAATGAATGACTACCACCTCGCACAATCCCCACCCTCACAGCTCACTTCAGGCCCAGGTGGCACAGGGCAGGGTGCTCCAGAGCGCAGTCTCACAGCTGCTTACCTGCAGGTTGTTGTTGACTCTCTGCGCACCACACTTGTGGACTCTGAGATCGCACTTTGAGAAACAGTCAAAGAAATTGCAGTCTTCATCTCCCGTGCAATTCTGCTCGAGGATTTCCCTCATTTTAGGTTCAAAAAAAGCCATGTCCACATCGATAGCCACGACCTGTAACCAAACAGCACAGGGTAACTAAGGGGGCACTGGGCTCAGCACAGAGGGAGCCTGGGCAGCAACTCCATCTCGGTCTTTCCAAGCTGGGGTCACAGGGGGCCGGTCACAGAGCTCTGCAGCCAGCGGAGCCCAGGCCATGCAATTGGAATCGGTCCTATCGCAAGGCTTTCCCTTTGAGAAGGACCTTTGCTGTCCCTAGCGAAAGCCTAGGATTTGGGACTGTACAGAGAAATATCCCTTTTCATCCTTAAACTTTCTCACCTTTAAAAGTAACATCTCTGAAACGTCTTAAAAATAAATTGACTTCCCCTCCTTACTTTACTACTTTGGTCTCTGACCTTCAAGGGTCGAGATTACAAAGCAGTGAGAGACAGGCCATCCACCCCCTTGAATATTAGCAATAAAAGGAAACTAAGTTCAAGAGACAGATCTGTGGGTGTGAAGGTGAAAACGAAGCCAGCTGTTTCTAGGTTGTCTACCCACGGCATCGCTGTTACCTGAGTCAACTGGTTTGCAATTGACTATTTGGATAGGCATGTGGGGGGAAATGACAGCGCCAAAGTTCTCAGATTAGGGTTGATATGTGTGGAGTTCGATCCAATATCATCAGACGCTACATCCCACTGTCAGCATAAGAACTGTGACCCCTGGAATCTCAGATTTATCTTCTTGGCTTCAACCCAAAGAGGCTTCAAAACAAGAATAATATCTAAATTATGCAGATTTTCTCCACCACCTGAATTAAAAAAAAAAAAAAAATGAGCTCAAACCTGTGAAAACCTGGAGTTGGCCCAAATTGAGCAGTTTATAGCTTCAAGGTATTAAACAGCTTATAAGACTTGATGAATTTGAGGGAGTCTGTGGCATTTCACAAGCCTTCACAGGTCAACGTCAAAACATCACCCCTTCCTTTTGTTCATTTGCTTTTGTTTCTCATTCAGGGTTGATGCCGATGGCAACAAAGCTTCTTGGGGAGTATTTCTTGAGGAGGGAAAATAATTTATTACAAAATATGGAGAGAATAATAAAAAAAAAAGAACAGGGAACTTTTTCCTTGTTAAGAGCTTTGCCTAATTACTAATTCAGACTCAGCAAACAGAAATTATCATTTTAATCAGTTTTTCCTGTCTCATTATTTAGCCAAAAGAAATAGCTCACTTCATTATTTGCACTGGTTAATAGACTGAAAAAGTATTAGGCTATGCTAATGATCTACAGCCTTTCTGGTGTATTATTGGGGCTATAAGACCCTTCTCTTTCTTCTACAGCTTCTGGCAATCCCCCCAGCTTCTTCTGGGGCCCCAGATGGAATTTCAGCTCCTTGCAATTTCTCTCTTTCCCATTACTGATGGTTCCCTTCTCAACTCCTAGGAGAACCAGATTTATCTTTTAATTTTTGTGCATGGCATAGGATGGATTACAGCCATTGTGAGCATAACTATAAATACCAAAAATAGGAACAGTGACCAAACAAATCAGAAGACCTGCAGGAGGTTTCTCAAATTGTATCAGGAGAATCTTAAAATTTTTCCTGTGTGGAGTGAACTAACTCATGCCCCCTTCAAACTTCATCCTGCACCAGCCCAGAAAGGCCCGATGAGAAGCATTTTATTCTCCACTGGGAAGCGTGGCTCTGGGGGAGGAAACATATCATCTGCTTGAAAGGAGCCCTTGCTGGCAGCAGTCCGGGAGCAGGAAGCAATGCTGTGCCCTACTTGTGGTTGGGCAACCCCGGGACAAATTGTCAGGACCTGTAAGTGAGGACCTGGAGGGAGTGAATGACTTTGAGTCGTCAATTCTTCCCACCATCTGAGCAACTGCAACATGGCCTGAAGGGAGGACCTGCCTGCTGGTCCCCTAGCTTGTTTCTCAAACTCAGACAGCTGCATCCATCCTAGGAGGTCTTGGGTTCAGGCAGAGAACTTGCATTTCTAACCTGTTCTCTGGTGATGTGGACACGGCTGGTTTTTACTTAAAATCATAGGTAAATTGAACTTCTTGAACTTCAGTCTCGTGAGGAAGGTCAGTAATGCCAGGATCAGCACAGTGGAATCGGGTCCTTCATTCTCCATCCTCACCCTCACTCTGGCAGCAGCCAAGGCTACATGCTTCAGGGCTGAGTGCTTCAAGCACAGCAAGTCCAGCCTGGTCAGGTGAGCAGCCAGGACTTCATTGAACAACTCTCTTAGACCTATGATGCAGAAGACACTGGAAGGCACAATGGAGGTGGACCTTGCAAGCCAGTAATGCCCCATGTTGCTCACTCCTTGGGGAGGACCCATCAGCGCCACCTCCTTCTGAAGCCTTTCCTGGGAACCCAGCCCAGACAGCCACTGGGTTCCCTTGACTGCCACCACTCACTGACATGCTCTCATACTTGGTGGATGAATAAACAAATCATCTCGTAACAGGAAGGACGGACCCCTAACTGCCCAAAGCTGGTGGTTGTATGTGAACCCTCCATGCCTCCTTGCCCAAGGCCTCAGGGTGGCTAGGTCCCCAGAATGGCTCTGAGGAGAGCCACCACCCTCTGTTTTGTTTTGTTTTGTTTTGTTTTGTTTTTTTATTTTTATAATTTTCCTGCTCACAAAGTAAGAAAGCCTCGGCCAGGACCTCAGCTCTGAGAAATAAGCCGGTGGGTGAGTCAGGGGCATCCTGACTTTCACAGCTCGTCTGGCGGGTCTCCTCCTGGAACTTCTCAGAACTCTCTGGAACCTCAAGGAACCCTTCGACCCACACCTGAAAACACCCGGCTTATCAGCCCCTCTGGGACAGCCAGGGACAGAGCATTAGGACAAAGAAGTGGGGGCAAAATGCTATGATACCCTTCCCAGTGACAAAGACTTGGCAGGAGAAAGGCTCTCTATCGATTTCAGGCTGTTATACAGAGGCATTCCTGTGGCTGGAATAGTACCTTCTATTTTTGTCCCTTATGTTTTGACTGGGGTGGATAAGAAGAACCATATACTAAACTGACAAGCTCAGGAGAGGCCTATGTGGTGGGTGGCCTTACAAACTCAGACACCTAAAGTAACCACGTAGGGTGTTCTGAAATGAAAAATTTTAAACTAAAAGCAGTTCATGGCAGGTAGTCGTGTCCAAAGGCAGTATTTTTTCCTAATAAAATTCAATCTTTACTCAATTGAGCCCATTATCTTTTTGCATCTCAGATAACATATCTTTGGAATGTTAAAGTAATTTTCCTTTTTTTTAAAAAAAAAAAATGTATCTTTACTGTTGAAAGTATTACAGATATTCCTCTTCTTTCCCCCCTCCCAACCCCCATCTGTCCCCTCTTCCCTACTGCTTCCCCAGGCCTTCACCACACTATTGTCTGTGTCCATGGTTATGTGCATATGCATATAATTTCCTTTTTCTGGACTCCTTAAAGCACAGGCACTGCTCTGCCGAGACCACACATCCCCTCATTGTCATTGAGTTAATTATTGTCTGTTAACTATCCTGCACCCGCCTAAGTGACAGAAGTGTCTATCATTTCACTTTTTACCCAATCCCAGAGGTTTCTCCACTTGGCTTTCTCCCACCTCCCTGATCTATCACCAATGGATTTCATGTAACCCACATACATCTTCTTTTTTTCTTGTAATGTATTTTATTTTATTTTATTGATTTTGTACAGAGAGGAAGGGACAGAGATAGAGAGTCAGAAACATCGACGAGAGAGAGTCATCGATCAGCTGCCTCTTGCACACCCCCTACTGGGGATATGCCCGCAACCAAGGTACATGCCCTTGACCGGAATCGAACCCGGGACCTTTCAGTCCCCAAGCCGACGCTCTATCCATTGAGCCAAACTGGTCCCGGATCTTGTAATGTATTTTAAAAGATGCAAAACTGTCATTCTCTGGAATATAATCTCTAACTATTGAGGTTTTGTCATCAGTTTGGCCCAATAAACTCAAAAAAATTCTCTATAGGTTTGAACATTTCTTATGTTGACAAGAGCATAGACTACCGTGAGCCAGCCTCCACCATGCCCAGCCCACTGAGGTGGCCGAAGTGAGGCTGGCCTGGCCCTTTATCTGCTGGCTCTTGCAGTGTAAGAGATGACTCATTGCAACAGGCAATAGCCCCTGGGATAGAGCATCCAGATCAGATAGCACTATTGCGACACCTGGGTTTACCTAGGGAACAGGAGAAGGTGAGGAGGATTATCTTCCAATGACACTGCAGTCTCTCCTGCCACTGCAGCTCCTCCTCATTCAATTCCCCGGAGAGGGAGCAAAATGGACCTGCCTGCAGAGCAGTGCGGAGGCCACCATGTCCATCTGGGCAGGGTTGTCCCTGCAGGAGGCGCCCCACTCGAGTCCCTCTAGAAATCTTACCCATGGAAGGGAAGCGAGCTAGAACCTCTAGGGAGAAAGTGCTAGAAAAATGTTGCACACTGTCATGGAACCTGGACAGTTTGAAGACAGCATCATTGTCCAAAACCCCAAAGGCCATCCTCCTCATCATCTTGTGAGGCCCCTCATCCCTGAAGACTGCTTTCTGCTCTCAGCAAGAGATTGCTTTCCAGAACAGCCCCAGGGAGGACACGCCTTGCCCCTGAGGCCTGGGCTCCTGCTGTCCAGCCTTTCATTCCACCCACCCCCTGGAGTGGGGCGAGGTGTGTGTCCTTTCAATCCTCACGAACTCAGCTTGGGCAGGGTGGGCTGTCCAGGCTATAAGGCAGCATGATGCTACTGTGTGCCTCAGGATTTCAGAAATGCTCTCATTTAAAACCATCCGTCTCCCAAGTGAGGTGTCCACTCCCCCAAGGAGCACTCACCGTGAAGTCCCTCCTGATGGCAAAGTTCTCAGGCTTGACATCGCAGAGGTGGAGGCGGTGGGAGAAGTCATTGTCGAAATGTCTCACCAGGTCCAGGAAGCTGAGGGCCATGTCGCCGATGGCCTGGGCCTGGCTCCGCGAGGCCCCATCCACGGGGAAGAGAGCCCTGTGGTGGGGGCTGCCTGCTGCCAGGTACTCCACAGCGTAGAAGTGGCCGCAGGACCCTAGCAGCGGCGGGGCGTGTGGGCTGAGGCCGTGCAGCATGCTGAGCAGCACAAACTCCTCCTGTTGTGCCAGTGACCAGAGGCTGGCCAGCTGGCCCCGCCAGCGTGTGCCCCGGTGCCCAGGCCACAGCCGCCCCAGACTGCCAGCCGCCAGCTCCAGGCCCAGGGCGCTCTTGACCTCCCCTGCCACCAGCAGGAGCAGCTCTGCCTCCGGGAAGCCCTGGCCCCCGTCCTCAGCTTGGTCCTCCATCAGGCCAGGTGGCCGGAAGCTGGAGAAGGCCTCCTCCTTGGACTTGAGGATGATGGGGTGGCCTCGCCAGTCCGCCTGCAGCACCTTCTTGCCCCTCTCGTAGTACAGGCAGTGCCGGTACCGCAGCCTCCCGGCCACGCACAGGTCCTCGCAGAGGTCGCCTGCCAGCGCCCCGCCCTGGTAATCCCGGCACTGGAGGAAGGGGACAGCAGGTCACAAGATGGTGATGGTGGGAGGAGGCAGGAAAAGGGCCCAAGTTGGTCCCTGTGCTTGGAGTGCTTCTCATCAGCCCTTGAGGGAAACCTCATGAGCCCTGTAGGGTCTCTGGAAAGTCAGTGCATCCTATCTAATAAAAGAGTAATATGCAAATTGACCATCACTCCAACACACAAGATTGCTCCCCCCATGTGGACACAAGATGGCCACCACAAGATGGCCAGCAGGGGAGGGCAGTTGGGAGGGACCAGGCCTGCAAGGGAGGGCAGTTGGGGGTGATCAAGCCTGCAGGGAAGAGCAGTTAGGGGTGACCAGGCTAAAAGAGGAGGGAAGTTGGGGGTGCCCAGACCTACAGGGAAGGGAAGTTGGGGGGGGACCAAGCCTGCAGGGGAGAGTATTTGGGAGGGACCGGGACTGCAGCGGAGGACAGTTAGAAGTGAACATACTTGCAAGGGGGGGGGGGGGGGGCAATCAGGCTGGCAGGGGAGCAGTTAGAAATCAATCAGGCTGCAAAGGGAGTGATTAGGGGGTGATCAGGCTGGCAGACAGAAGCGGTTAGGGGTAATCAGGAAGGCAGGCAGGCGAGCGAGCAGTTGGAAGCCAGCAGTCCTGGATGGTGAGAGGGATGTCTGAGATTGGAGAGGGTGCAGGCTGGGTTGAGGGACACCCCCCTGCATATAATAAAATAAAAGACTTCCAAGTGCCTCATATTTATGGTAATCAATCAAGCCCAGGGCTAGGTTCTCAAAATCAAAACACCCAGAGCCCAGAAGTTGGTCTCCCATCCACCAGCTGTGGTGACCCCACCACTACCACACTGCAGTCATCTCTAAGAAGACAGTCCAGCCAGGACTTGCTAGAGCAATCACCACAGACAAGGCCCACCTGCCTCAGGCACACCTGGCCAGCTTCCAGTTAGCAATACCACTTTCCGAACTCAGTCCAGCTGTACGAGAGCTGAGCCTCCATCCAACTACAGTACCAGGCTCCAGAGTTCACAGAACAGTGGTGGCTGCCTTTGAAACTCACCAACGATAGCAGAGTCTGACATGGGCAGGGTAAGTGTGAGACATGTGGTTTGGGAAAACTGGGTTTGTCCCTGGGCTCTGCCCCTCATAAGGTGTGGCATGTTTTCAAATCTGTAATAGAGGATGATAATACTGTGTTACAGGAGGCCTGTGGAGGTCAACCAAGGTCATGAGCTTGGATGAGGTTATCTCAGGGAATGCTAGTTTTATCCAGCCCTGGTCATTAGAAGTCGGGAGCCAAGGAGGCTTCTTCCTGGAGACATGCATCTGAGCTCACTTTTGAAAGACAAATTGCAGGTCTGCTTAGCAGACAAGGAGTGGGAGGGCAGTTTCGTGGCAGGAAATAGCCTGTGCAAAGACCTGGAGTTGCAAAGTAGCATGGGATGTTCAGAGAACAAGACCAGTTCAAGAATGTGGAGAGCAGGTCAGAGCGTGGGCCACTGTGTGACAGACTGGGGTGTCCTATCAAAAATGCCATTTCTGCCCTGGCCAGTGTGGCTAAGTTGGTTGGACATCATCCTGAGCACTGAGGGGCTGCCGTTCCATTCCCAGTTGGAATGTATGCTCGGGTTGCAGCTTGATCCCTGTTGGGTGTCATGCAGGAGGCAGCCAACAGATGTTTTGCTCTCCCATAGATGTTTCTCTCTCTTTCCCCCTCTACCTTCCTCTCTCGCTAAAAAAATCAATTTTAAAACTGTAAAAAAAAAAAAAAAAAAAAAAGTCATTCCTGCATCTCCACCTGGCACAAATGCTTCCTACCCAGCAAGGGTCAGACCAACCTCCCCCTGAGGCAGCCCTGCCTGCTGGTGGGGATGCTTTCTGCCCAGAGCTCTCACTAACAGACCCACCCTGTGCCATCCCCTCTCCTGCAGGCTCTACACAGCTCAGCCTTCCCTGCAAAACTACTGCGCTGATGAAATCAAATTCAAATTGAATTGAAACCTATCCAAAATTTGCCCCTGCAAATTTGGAAGGCAATTCCAAACAGGAGTCGCAAGATATTTGGAACAACAGTCTAATCATTGAATTTGGCATGCGGCCTATCGATTTTGGAGGGGAACATTAATGTCGGCCGTTTTCTGCAGATCAGCACATTGAGGCATTAGGGATGTGGTGGTAGGCATCGGCAAGGAAGTGGAGATCCTCAGGTGAGATCTTAGGTCTGTGACCTCATTTATCCTAGGAGACCATTTACATTAGAGCAAGGCACACACAATGCAATTATCGCCCAACTGTTCTTTGCTATCATCCTTTAGAATAGGGGATTTTGGGCATTTCGGTTCCCACGCCTCTTACGTAGAATGTAAACTTTGGCCACAGCAGCTATTCTGGTCACAGTGCCAGAGTGCGTCTGCAGAGTCTTCGCATATCTATGCATACTAAATGCAGAGAAGAGCTTAATCTAGCATTTAAAAAGCAGCAAACTCAAAGTATAAATTATGAGGTTACAAACTGATGAATAATTGTCATTGTGTTAGAGACAATCATTAAAATTATTTTATTTAGCAGCAGGTCCTATTGAAGTTGCTCTTTTTTCTTTTTTCCTTTCTTCAAAAAAGGGTGTGTTTTTTCTATTTTGAGATAAAGAGGAAAGGAGAGGTTGAGAAAGAAACATTGATGAACAAGAATCATCAACCAGGTCGCCTCCTGCATGCCCCTCTCCTCCCTCTAGGGATAAAGCCTGCAACCTGGGCATGTGCCCTAACCAGGAATTGGCCCCTCAAATTTTCAGTTCAAGGGATGACACTCAACCACTGAGCCACACTGGCCAGGGTGAAGAAGCTCTTTTTAACTAAAAAAAAAAAAAAAAAAGTGCTTTTATTTCTTTTAACTCCATTTTAAAAATCGGTTTTCTCTTACTATGAACAGATCCAAACTGCCAGTTTGAAGACAGGTACGTTCCTGGACCCAAATGTGTGTGCACCCAAAACCCACAGGAATACACTGAGAAAAAAGTCTCATTGTAGTTAAGTGGCATTATCTAATTAGTTGGATGCATCCCATAGGTTGCGTGGGAATATGCAAACACACATTTTCAGCATGCCCAGCTCTGCAGGAAGAGTTCTCAGTGGTTGTGGCTTAGAATCTCTCCGGCTTGTATTATGCTTCTCAGGCAAAAGCAAAGCCTGTCCGTTCCAGTTTGGGAAATGGTTGTCAGGTCTCGGGGGTCATGCCTAAGATCTGGGTTTTCTGTGTGTTTGGTTTTGTTTTTAAGGAGTGTTGGGTTCCTATGTGGTTAGCAATCGTCACACAACTAGCAATCTTCCCCGGCAGTGACGCTGTGCACTGCAGACTCTCAGAGCAACTGACCAGCCCGCTGGGCAGCCTTCCTGACCCTGGATGAGCACTCAGGAGAATAGAGCTATTCTCTGCTGTAAAGTCTTTCTGGGCATGCGCCCGGGTGTGCGCTAGGGCTCTCGGTTTCCATCACAGCAAAAAAGACAAGCCTGTCCTATTAAACAGGAACCCCGAAGGTAGGCAACTAAGTTCAATCACATCAAGCCTAACTAGCCAAAAAGGAACGGAGCCTCTGAAGAACAGCGGTGGGAATAGTTGTGAGATGCTTTGAAAGCGATATGCTGTGGAGGGTTAAGTATCCCCAGTTGTTACTGATGGTTCTCGTTACTGAAGAAGCCACTCGCCGTCACAGGGTCTCTCTTATCAGACTGCACACGGTTCACCCTGGCTCCACACACACTAACTGCACAAATCAGGTCAGGCTGACCTCTCTGGGGCTCAGTTCCACCATCTGCCACCATCTCCCGGAGGTTGTGGATGGGAGTAAGTGAAAGGATACAGGTAAAACTACTCATCACAGTGCCTACCCTGAGAAGCAGACAGGACCCCGCAGCCCAGCCCTCTCTGCCGCTGCACGAAGAACTCCACCTGCAATAGGAGCTGGGAGCAAGAACTACCAAGCATGGCCTGAGGCTCATCAGCCTGCATCGCCTCCTGGCACTGTTCTCTGCTACAGTAGGGCTGTAGCAACCTCCCAGGGCAGTCTAAGAGGGCATGCGGATGTCTTGATTATGGGATGAGCTGAAAAGCCGCAGTACATAGGAGCACCGCAGTCTGACTAGGGAAATCCAAAGCTCTCAGACCCAGTGCTCGACTCTTTGGAACAAGGCCAGTTGGCTCTTCCAGGGCTGAGGAGTGTGGTGGGCTCCCTCAGGAGGTGGGCGGCTTGGGGCTAGTAGCAGACCTGGCACCTGGCTCCTGGCTCCTCAGCTTCAGCTAGACTCCCCCCGCAGGCCCCAATGCCCCTGTGCATGGGGGCCTGGGAATGCCCTAGGCCTTGCCCACAACTCTGCTGCCCCTGCCAGAGAGAGAGAGAGGGGCCTCTCTTTGGCTCAGTTCAGTTACTCCTTCTATGCGCTGGTATTCAGAGGGAAAGCTAATGAGAGTCTGGAGGCCAGTCAGAAAACTAACAGCCTGTTTCATTACTAAGGATAAAAGCCAGGCAGAATGAATTAAAAGTGCTTGGGGAGCCCAGAGACAGACACTCGATTCAGCTCCAGTCCTGGGAGGCCACAGTGCCAGCCTCTGCGGGGCAGTGAGGGCCCAGCAAGCGATGTTTGCAGACTGGGTCTTATTCAAAGCTTGTGCTAGGGTAGTGTCCTGGATAAAAGGGAGCCAGCATGCTGCGTGGGGTTCACATCAACAAGTCAGAATGGAGAAGGTTGAAAGAGAGGGAGAGAAAGCCGAGTCCTGCTCACATGGGAGAAACCATGGCCTCAAACGAGGCGTGCAAATGATGCTCCCAGAAAAATCAGTTCAGGGAGACAACGGCAGGTGAACTTTAGCAAGAGGAGCCTGGTATTTCAAATCATTCTTTTAGTAACAAGAAAGGAGAGAGCCACCAGAAGCAGGACGGAACTCTTGGGCTTTAGATCAGACTAAAAATGACCCCGTAGGGCTGCCATTGGAGATATAGTAGTAGAACCACTCATCAGAATTGGCTTTAATTTATGGGCTGAAACACTTGGAAAGTTATGATTAGCAATTACTTAATTTATATTAGGCTATTCATTTCCACTTGGCCTTTGCCACTTAGTCAAAGGTAGATAAATGGAAAGTGGAATCCATCTTTTACTTTAATCTAAAAGATTAGTTTCTATTGTTTTTGTAAACAGAAGTGTTCCATCTTGGTCAAACTATTAATCTTTGTTCACTATAAACTGTCAATCAGGCTCCCCCCCCCAAAAAAAAAAAAAAGAAAAAAAAAGAAAGGAGTTTTTATACGTATTCCTGAGAAAATCAATGAGCTCATGTAACTTAAAGAAAACTTGATGGAACTTCAGTGTAACTGTCAGTGGGTGGATGGTAGATGCATGGATGTGTGGATGCATGGATAGGTGATAGATAGGATGGAGGGAGTCAATGATGAGTGTCTCATTTGCATTATGGTCCATTCATGATGACACATGTCAGACTCAGGGAATATGATTTGTTTTAGCTTGTACCTTTCACTCATTATTCCTTAATTTTTTCCAATCTCACTTTTTATATTTAAAAAAATCATTTACTTGGAAACCTTTATGCTACCCCGTTTTGAAAACCTACAATCTCAGCCCTAGGCTGTTTGGCTCAGTGTTGGCCTGGGGACTGGGGGGTTCCAGGTTTGATTCTGATCAAGGGCACATGCCTGGGTTGCAGACTTAATCCCCAGTAGAGGTCCTGCTCAAGGCAGCCGATCAATGATTCTCTTGATTCTCTCTCATCATTGATGTTTCTCTCTTTCTCCTTCTCCCTTCCTCTCTGAAATCAATAAAAAATATAAAATAAAAACCACCTACAATCGCAAATGGCCCACCCATATGTAAGCAATTGAACTAAAAACTTCCCATGTGTTTCATTAACATTTCTTAGAAAACATCGCTTTTCACACCAAATGCTTAGATGCTCACTGCTTGGAGAAGTGAATAAACACTTCAAAAATCAGTGTAACAAGAGTAGCTGCTATCTTCATCTTTCTTGGCTTTCCTTTGGAGGTATTTCTACCTTTGTTCAAATCTCCTAAAGCACGTCATCTTGTGAACCAAACTGAGACTAAGGAGCAGCCAGCCTCTGGGAAGCAACTGATGAGCATCTGGGACCAAATGCGGGCAGACAGAACCCTGCGGTTCGGTCTCCGCTTCCCGCCCCGCCCATCTGAGGAACAATCCGGCCCTCCCGTGGAGGGACGGAGACTGCAGCCACCACCCCAGGACTAGGGTCCCCGGGGGTCGCACAGCCTCCCGGAAGCTCGCTGTGCCTGGGGTCCCACGGATGCATGAGGCTTGGGGCGCAGGAGGCAGGGCCCCGTTAGCGCACCGGGCTCGGCGTGGAGAAGCCCAGGTTGGAATAACAGAACGGAGTCTGGGCCAGAGAACAGGGACCCAGGGGCCCGAGAGGCATCTTGGTCCGCATCCTGGCCCCTAACCCTGCGACCCCACACGGGATGGGCCACCAAAGGGTTGCGGGGAGACTCAGAGCCCACCGCAAGCAAACTTTCTTTAGGAGCGCAGGCTCGGCGGGGCGGCGGGAGAGCCGTCCAGCAGGAAGACTCTTGGGACAAAGGACCAATTTGGGCGATGTGGGGAGAAGCACCCCTGCGCGCCCGGAGGGCTCAGGGGCACAGTGCCCATCCCACGGAGACCGGGATCTGCACATCCTGCATCCCACAGCCCGGGTCCCACCCCTTAACCCTGGCGCACCTCGCGGGACAGTGCGGCGGCGGGACCTACCAGCGCGGCCAGGATGCGCCGGCTCTTCTCGTCCGTGCAGCGCTCCGAGAGGACCCCGGGGTGCGCGCGGAGCAGCAGCGCGGCCGCCAGCACCCAGATCGCGGTCCAGGCCACACAGGCAGCCAGCGCGCGCCTCCCGCACCTCCAGCGCCGCCCGCACCGCCCGCACCCCCCCGGCTGGCCCCGCGCGCCCGCAGCCCGCGCCATGGCCAGCGCGCCACAGCTGTGCCCTGCGCTCCTGTCGCGGCTCCACTGCCGCCGGCTCAGCGGGGGAGGGGACGCGGGGGAGAGGCCACGAGCAGGGAGGGGAGGCCCCGCGGCTGGATCCCCTGCCCAGCAAGTCCTGGGGCGGATGAGGGTGTCCGCTGGAGCACTGGGGAAGGGGGCGTGCGCTGGCCGTTCCCTGGTCAGTGCATGCTCCACCGCAGCACCCAGACACCCTTTCCGCTTTTTTTTTTTTTTTTTTTTTTTTTTTGCACTTTTCCCCCCAGATCAGCTCTCCTCTTAAACAGAATCCGCGCAGATTCAAACTCCCGGGTCTAGACTCCTGGCTCCTTGGCCAACCCATCTTCAATTCAAACAAAACCCTCCCACCTCCCCTTCTCCTCTGGGCGGCAACTCAGTGTCCCAAATCTAGACCCCCAGTTGCTCTCTGTCCCCTCCCCCATTTGCCTCTGTTAGATTCCTCCCTCCCCTACATCACCCCGACTTGAGAGGCTCTCCACAGGTGAGACCCTGAGCCTGCGTAGAGTCCTGGGCCTCGGACAGTTTGTCATGCTGCGGCCACTGTCTGTCGCGGACTTTTCCCAGGCAGCATCCTGAATCCTGGGTCCCCCACCCCTCTGCCCAGGCTGCCAAAAACTCCAGGGTGTCCTTTCCAGGAGAAAAAGTGCAGCACTAAACATTTCTGCTTCCCCTTGGCAAGGAGAAAGCACTCAATAAACGTGTCTAAATCTGCATTTAGGTCTGTTTGTAACAAGGTCTCTGGGAGTGGGCTTCAATGCTCCACCCCAGCCATTACATAAAATAGGGGGGCACCTCCGCTGGCAGACCTGTCCCTGGTTCTTGTCTCCTCCCCAGGCCACCAACTTGCTGCTCCCTGAAAGCCTGTTTCCTGCCCCACCCTACCCCCATCCCAGCTCTGATAGGTGGTGCACCCGGAGCTGTCCCAGCTGAGGGCTTCTGCAAGCTCAGGCCCAGGGCTCCTGCCACTCACTTGGCAGGAGCTTATTCTGGCCTGTTAGGTGCCAGCTCATGGGGTCACACTCCCACCTGCACTGTGCCTGGATTTCACATATCCATTTCTGAATGTGGGGACAGCAGAATTACTCTGGCCGAGATGAAGCATTCTGTCAATCTCCTTCTTAATCTTTTCTGTTCTGCAATCACCAGTTTAACTTCAAATTTCATGACTCAGTGGTAGAGGTCTCCAGAAATTGTGAAACACCGCATTAACAAGGAGCACTCTGGGTACACCTTGAATATTCCCTTTGACCAGCCCGCCCACTCCCAGGGCACACCCAACCCCAACCCCAAGCATCCCGCGGGAATATTGTTCTAGGCGCTGTGCAAACTTGGTCATCTCGCTTCAAAATGGTTGTGAGCACAGAGGGCAATCTTAGGACAGACACTGCTTTCAAAGCCTGACTCGATGGTGTAAAGGTGATTGATTCCCTTTCTCCAAAATGTTATGGGCGGAGGGGCACAAATAGGAAGGAGGATGAGATAAAGGAGTGTAAAAACATTTATGGTTTCAAACCTAAGAATAAAAACGGGGAAAGCAGAACTTGAAATCAAAGTCAGGATTTGCAAAGTGAGCGTTACTCATGTAAGTTTTAAAAATACGTTAATAATCACACTTCTTTCGGCATTTAAAAAAATAATTTTATTGATTTCAGAGAGGAAGGGAGAGGTATAAAGAGAGATAGAAACATCATTGATAAGAGAGAATCATTGATCAGCTGCCTCCTGCTCACCCCACCCTGAGGACCGAGCCTGCAACACTGGCACGTGCCCTTGACTGGAATTAAAACCAGGACCCTTTGGTCCGAAGGCTGATGCTCTATCCACTGAGCCCAACCAGATAGGGCTCTTTGGCATTAAAAAAAAAAAAAAAAGTATTCAGAAGAAAATGATAAGCCCACATTGAAGAGAGCTTTAGAGCATTCAGCATTGTTTTTGTTCAGAAATCATGGTCCTCTCTGGAGCTGAAAGCAACGCCCTGGGAGGCAGGACCTGTGCATGACCTCCTGCTATGCGGGTTGCACACTGCAGGAAGCCATGAGAGGCGGTGGGGCTGCAGTCCACCAGAGCCCAGCTCATCAAGCCTTTTTTCTGGGGGAGGAGCTCACAGGGGTGAGTGAGGGGGGTGAGTCTTTTAAAATCATCTGTCCAGCTGGGACCGGTTTGGCTCAATGGATAGACCGTCGGCTTGGGGACTGAAAGGTCCCGGGTTCGATTCCGGTCAAGGGCATGTACCTTGGTTGCGGGCATATCCCCAGTAGGGGGTGTGCAAGAGGCAGCTGGTCGATGTTTCTCTCTCATCGATGTTTCTAACACTCTATCTCTCTCCCTTCCTCTCTGTATAAGAATCAATAAAGTATATTTAAAATTATCTGTCCAAAGAGGGCTTTTTTGGGGAATTTATAGGATGGTGACTGATAGGCCAGCTGGTACAAACCATCTTTCCCTAGAGCAGCAAAAAGATAAGCAAAAACATCATTACATTAACAACACAATGTGAATCTTTGGCTTAACAAAGAAACAGGAGTTTGGTCTCATCTTCCTGGAACCCTAGTTGCTGTGTGTTGGTGCCCGAGCCTTGTGGGGCCCAGCCAGGATAAGAGCATGGGTGGAGCTGGGAGAGTAGTCTGGCCAAGTGCTGGCTTCACAAGTTGATTTGAATAGGCTTTGACTCCTTAAAACAAACAAACAAACAAACGAAAACCAACTATGAAATTCAGGAGCTATGTTCCCCTACTCCCTAACCCAAACTATGAAAAGTGAAGTCCTGTTACTAGAAATGGCTGAGTGTGGTGATGCCTCCAATCATACCTAATTCACACAAAAACTCTAAGGCAGGTTTCCCTGGCTCTGAGGGAGATGGAAATTTAGGTCTGTAGACCCGACAGGGAACACCCTGTGAGCAGATGAAAGGTACCGTGTGCTCCAGTCCGGAACCTGTGCCCCACGCCCAGCTTTCTGGCACCCACCACAACAGAGCAGAGCAAACATTCCATGTGATCAGGGTTATCTGTTTTAATTAAGCATGTAGACTAGACCGTTTATTCATTGATTTCTTCCATTAGACAAGAGGCTGGAGACTCTGTCTTGTTTCATGTTGTAATCCCAGCACCTAATCCGAAGAAATGAGAGGAAGATGCAGTTTATCCTTTTCTCTGAAAGATCAGAAAACTCTGAGCACCCTGTGGAATTTTTCTTGACAATTTTTCTTTTAACACATAAATATTTCTTTCTGATTTCCTGAGGCTACATCGAACGACGCAGACACATCACTGGGTTACGAATATGTTTGAACATATCCTTTGGATTCTGAACTAATAGACTGACAGTTGAACTTGTTGCTGAGAACAGAATATGAATATTTTGCTTTGTAGGCCATTCCTGGAAGAAAGAGTACAATTCTGTAGTTTTCTGGCTCTGATTATACCAAATCACTTTGATAATGCTTGATTATGCTACATTTCTATATACGTCAAGCTCATAAAAATATTTTTCTTTCTACAAAGGCTGACAACAACAAACACACCTATGCTTGTATGTACTTAATATGTTTGCATACATTAGCTCACATCATTCTCCCATCGCCCCACCAAGATGACAGGGTGAATGTTATTACCTAAAACCTCACAGAAAAGGGCATGGCCTTTTGGATCTGATATGTTAGTAGGAGGGGCAGGCGAGAGGCCCACTCACTGCTTCTAGGTTGATGCTCTGCTTCCTCTAAGCTGGGATTTCCGGCTCTAGTGAGAGCATGAAATGTACGCAAGTCACAATCAATGACTGAAATAATCTGCCACAAGCCAAGAACGTTTCAAACATTTGTCAGCGTTACCAGTCGTTTGTCATCCAAGAACAAGATTTTAACTCAGGCTTAGCTTTCCTACAAGGGTCTTTGTTGCCCTGCCCAGCAGTGAGTACCACATCTGCAGGGTGGTGACAGCTCAGGAAAGAGGCACGGCCTTTCAGAAGGAGGCTTGTTCCTGATCCCCTGTCATGGGGCGAGGGAGAGTAAGCCTGAAGAAAATGAGCCCCCTCCCCACTGAAAAAATGTCTCTGCTCACATTCCACAGAGAAAGCTTAATGAGACCATCATGGGCTTTTACTTGATCATTTGTCTTAAGTGAGATCAGTCGTATTTATAAATGAGAGTTTTGTTTGGAGGGGAAGGAGAAGTTATTTCCTAGTCTGGGTGGGGGTCCAAGTGTCATTCCCTCTGGGATCCTTCACAACCAGAGGCCAGGGTGCCAAGAGGGCAGGAGGCAGGAGCTTAGAACAGTAAAAACAAAACAGGCAACAACAGGACAATGACTGGCTTCTTCTGCAATCTTGCGTAGAGTGCCCAAATCATCCAATTGGTAATGTTCAATGCATGTTTACCTTGATTTAGGAGAATTAGCATTTTTTAAGAACATGAGCCAAGTTGTCCAATGGTCTTTATAACACCATTTATGACAGCAAGGAGTTGGAAGTAACCTACACGTGTATGGTGGGGATGGTTCAGTAAACCATGCGTGGAAAGAAGTATACTGCCCTCAAAAGCTGTGACGTGCCGAAACCGGTTTGGCTCAGTGGTAGAGCGTCGGTCTGCGGACTGAAAGGTCCCAGGTTCGATTCCGGTCAAGGGCATGTACATTGGTTGCGAGCACATCCCCGGTAGGGGGTGTGCAAGAGGCAGCTGGTCAATGTTTCTCTCTCATCGACGTTTCTAGCTCTCTATCCTCTCTCCTCCTCTCTGTAAAAAATCAATAAAATATATTTAAAAAAATACATACAAAGTTAAATTAAAAATAAATAAGTAAATAAACATTACTTAAAAAAAAAAAAAGCTGTGACTTGAAGTGGGTGTTGATGGGACACATGCGATAGGGGTGTTCACTACAGTCTTTGCTGTTCCTCTAACGCCTCCGCTGTGTGTTGAGGTTGGCCAGAAATCTTCGCACAAAATGAATTGCCCCAGGAGTTTTTAACACCTCACACCCTTGCACTGCATTGTTTGGGAGTAAACTTTAGTAAAGTTCTAACCTTTTTGGCCTCCTTGCTTGTATTTCAGCTCCAGACACAATTGCCTGTTGGGCGGTCCCCCAGCCTGTGGAGAGGTGGGAGTAGCCACCCTCATGCCCATCTTTGTCCCTCTGCCCTGCGCCCTCTGCCGGAGGCACACATCTCACACAGAGCTGGGTTCATGCGCATGTGCGCACAGACAAGGCTGCTTCTCCAGCCAGTCCTATTCCGTGGAAGCACCACGTGGGGAGAAAAAAATGTATCATGCTTTTTGGCCTTGAAACACAGAGGCCCTTAGGAAAGGGTGACATTCCATAATTTGTTATTTCCCTTTTGGTAAACGACATGCAACTGTTTGCAGAGAGGAGCTTGCCTGAAATCGTCCGCAGCCCCAACTGCTCCCCTAACATGGTGCTGGGTCCAACTAGGAAAGGAGAAGGCCCCCAACTCTCCCCTGGGTTTAGGTGCTTAAAGTCCGGAAAGCCTCAATGCTGTGGATGCAGCTGCTTTGTCGAATAAACATCCTAAAAATACTGATAGCTCTGGAATTAGATTCTCCTTACCAAGGTTTATTAAATGTCAGCACATGAGAAGCCAGAGTGTCAAAACACCCCCGCTTTCTCTCACCCCCATGCTGAAAGTACTTGTGCGGGTTAATTTATGCATCACCTACCGAGGGACCCTTTGGTTGCTTCTAAGTATTGGCA